CAGAAATGTGTTGTTTTATGTATTGCTTACATGTCTGACAGCGTGTCCGCATTAAAAAGAGCTATAATATCATTACCAAGACAAGGTAGCTACACACAAAGTATTTGTTCCCCAACTTTATAGGACTACAGATCTCCAATATGCACGTAGATGTGTTTTACATGGTACGTGGTATATATTAATTGAGAGTTAGAAGGGCTTTACCTCCTTTACCTTCTTCCACCCTTGTAAATGTGTTTCATGTCTGCTGAGGAATTGTTCTTCTGGTTTAATACATTTTGGTGCTGAAAGTCAATACAAAACCCCTCACAAAACCCTAATTTTCTATCACTAGGAAGATTGTAAATAGAATTACATCAAGGGAGACATTTATGTACGTAGCAAAATAAAATCAATACAAAAGATTATTTCTGCCCACATACATGAATCGAGGTGCACATTTTAAAAAATAAATAAATGGAATCATATTCTATCTATCCCTTATATATTTTATTACTAATGTAATAAAACCAGAGTTCCAATTTTTGTTTTTTGTGTGTGGATAGATGATAGATAGATAGATAGATAGATAGATAGATAGATAGATAGATAGATAGATAGATAGATAGATAGAAATTCAAATAAACAATTTAAATAAAATAAATAAAATACAGTTCAGCAGAAAGAGATATCCTAGCCAGGCCAGATTAAGATATTGTATATCACGTTTAAGAGGCTCTATAGTGCTACTAAAAATTGTAATTTACTCATTTTAGGTTGTTTGTTTGTTTAAGGCTCCTCAGAATCTGAGGCCCTAAACTGTAAGTTTACTTGGCATCAGAGGTCATTTCGGGGGGGATTGCGGGGGATCGCAGTTCCCCTAGGTGAGGTATGGGAGGCGGGGCACATGACGAAGCCCTGCCCCCTGCTTCCGGCCGCCCCGCTTCGGCAGCGGCCGGGACCGTTGGGGGTGGGGTGTGTGGCCTTATGACACACGTCCGGTGATGTCAGGGGGGGTGGCCTTATGACACATTTCTGGTGATGTCAGGGGGTGTGGCATATGCTAATGAGTTATGCTAATGAGTTCCCCTAGCTCTTTTTCTACGAAACGACCCCTGCTTAGCATGTAAATCCAGTTTTACATCCTACTGTATGTTTACCAGCTCTGGGTTGGGAAATACCTGGAGATTTGGGGGGTGGAGCCTGGGGAGGGTGGGGTTTGGGGAGGGGGAGGGGCCTCGGCAGGGTATAGTACCATAGAGCCCACCCTCCAAAGTGGCCATTTTCTCCAGAGAAACTGATCTCTGCTCTCTGGAGATCACCTGTAATGCTGGGAGATCTTCAGGCCCCATTTGGAGGCTGGCAGCCCTAATCCTATTCAGTGTCTGGGCTGGTTCATCCAGGAACTGTAGAATGCAAACCATGGACTCAGAGCCGTTTGGCCCTGGCTTGTTGCCTCGTGCCTCTGGCCATGCCCATATTTTATACCTGCAGACAAGAAGGTCAGGAAAGGGGGAGGGGGAAGAAGAAGGGAAGAAGATGATATTCGATTCATCCCCCGCCCTTCCCTCAGCGTCTCAGAGTGGCTTACAGCCTCCTTCCCTTCCTCTCCCCACAACAGACCGTGAGGTGGGTGGGGCTGAGAGAGCTCTGAGAAAACTGCTCTTGAGAGAACAGCTCTGGGAGAACTGTGACTGACCCAAGGTCACCCAGCTGGCTGCATGTGGAGGAGTGGGGAATCAGACCCGGTTCTCCAGATTAGAGTCCACCGTTCTTCACCACTACACCCCCCAAAAAAAATCAGAATTAATGTTATGCAGCTGGATTGCCAGCTGTTGCTTGAGGGATTCCTGAGGATTTGGGGGTGGTGCTTGGAGAAGATAGAGTATAGGGAGAGGAGATAACTCAGCAAGATGTTGCCAGAATCCCTGACAAGACCCTACTTTTTATCACTACAAAGGTTGTAAATAGAATGACATCAAGGGAGACATTTATACAGCGACATAAAATGACAAAAGATTACTTTTGCCTGTACATAGGAAACAAGGTACACATTTTTAAAAATAAATAAATGGAATCATAATTTATCTCTTATATGTTCTATAACAGACACAAATAGAACAAAACAGTTCAAAATCTGTGTACCACTCAATTTCAAGTTTTTGTTTTGTAACTTAACTTTGTTTCCTCTTTATCATATTTGTAAGTCACTTTTCATCAAGGGTTTTAGGACACGTTACACAAAAGGGACTGAGTTGTCCTTCTTAACCTAACAAAACGGAGAAGTAATGAGCAGTACATGGTGACCAAGTTTGCATCACAACTGAGCTAGGATTTGAACTCAGGTCTAACAAACCCTGCCCTCTGTTACTATCATGACTCATTCACTACACTGTTGTACAGCCAATATTGTGACGTAAGACTTCAAACCAACAGGCTGAGTTTGTCCCTGAACTTGCTAAATCAATGTTGTTATGTTGGAATAAGCAAAGCTTGTATAACTAGTTTAGCCCCAAGGTCTTGTTCACCGTCAGAATTCATTTCAGGTCACTGTGTACTTGCAGTGTACTGAACTTCTCCCATCTCTCCAAATCAAAGACTGAGCCTTGATATCATGCATTTCAACTGCTTTAAAGCCTTTTATGTGCATTGTCTCAATAATCCTAACAGCCCTCAAAGGTAGGCTCAGGAGATCTTTATTTCCATGTTACTGGGAGAATTAGAGATGTTACTGACTTTCATGAGACTTTTCTTAAGCAGTTTAAATAAAGAGGATATAGTAGGCTTCCCAAGTCCCCCCGGGGGGCGGGGAAACCCCCGCCCCAGAGGCCCGTTTCCCGCTGCTGCCAGATCAGGCCCCGGGGGGAACTCCTCCCCAACGTGCGCATCACCTGAAAGCCGGGCACGCTGGGGGTGGGGCCACGGCCGTACGAGGGAAAACTCCCTTGCGCGCGCACCAGACGCCGGCCGGGAGCCCCCTACTCCCGGCGAAAATCGACTTGGCATCCCTAGGATATAGGCTGCAGTGTCAGGCCTGACTATATTTTATTTATGGATTGACTCAAGGAATAATTGTTTTACAATATTTAATGGCTAGTCGCTTAGACGCGTTGACCTGAATGGCCCAGGCCAGCCTGCTCTTGTTAGATCTCAGCAGCTAAGCAGAGTCAGTTCTAGGCCATACTTGGATGGGAGACCACCAAGGAAGTCCAGGGTTGCTATGCAGAGGCAGGCAATGGCAAAACTTCACAATTCCTCTCTTGCCTTGAAAGCCCTGCAGAGTTGCCATAAGTGGACTGTGATTTGACAGCACTTTCCATCACCAGTCCCTTAGACGGCCTTTAGAAAGATTCATTCGCAGCTGGCAAGTCCATCTAGGGCAGGGGTGGCCAAGCTGTGGCTCGGGAGCCGCATGCGGCTCTTTTACATATATTGTGCGGCTCCCGGCAGGGCGGCTGGGAAAGCTAAATATCATTAGCAAACAAATATCATTGGACAAATAAATGTCATTATCAATATCTGCTTTTACCGCTCTTGTTATTATTTTTGGCAGTCTCAATCAATGTTAATAAAAAGTGAATCTGCATATTTACCAGTGAAAGCATGTAATATCTGTTCATGTCTTGCGGCTCTCAAACATCTGATGTTTATTTTATGTGGCTCAAGCGAGTCTGGCCACCCCTGATCTATGGCTTTGCTAAATGAAACCTCCAGATGCAGGAACAGTGTACCTCTGAATATGAGATCCTGGTGATAAACCATCGGGGCAGGTCATCATCCCCATGTCTCGCTTGTGAACTCCTGAAAGCTGCTATTGAAAACAGAATCGGGGACTAGCTGGGCCTTGATTCGATCTAGCCAGGCAGTCCTTCTGTCTTCATATCCTTGCCTTCTCTGCTCTATCTACGGTGTGAGATCTCTAACCCAGTTTGACGCCTCCCACTAATTCATCTCCTCATGCTGAGGCAGAATGCTGAACAGATGCAAAACAGTTGCGGCAGGATGTTGTGAGGCGCCATACCTCGGCACAATAGTCATTACAGTCTCTTATATAAATTCACTGCTAGGATTTAGTGAAACCCTTCAAAGCTGTGACTGCTGTACCGTATCAGTACTTTCCAATCTCTCCCTCTCCCCTCTCTCATTGTGCGTGACCCATCAGAAATTGGAAGGCTTAATTTTCCAGTTTGGTTTCTTTTACAAGTAATACATTAATAAAACAACTATATGAAAATGGACCGACATAAAAGCTTTCCTGGAGATCTGGTGCGGAGTCCTAAATCACCATTTTGTTTAATGCACCGTTGGAACAATTTACTACAGCTCTTTCTTGTTAGTCAAGCTGGCTTCTATGTTTAGGCTGCATAATGTACCTGCGCATTCTCATTTGCAAGCTCGGCTTCACTGTCAGATCAAAGTTGTTTTGTTAGAAACCAATGATGTCAATCCATAAGGCAATCAATCTCGCTGTTTTTGTTCTGTTTTTTTCAAGCCCTTGACCAGGCGAGCTAATTTGTTAACCAGCTATTGTCCGTGGAATTGCATTAAGACATAAGCTGGTGACACATTTACTTGATTAATCACAAGCACTGCTTCTTAATCTAAGAACGTTCATTGCATTGTGTTAAAAAAGAACAAAACTAGCCCTGCCCGCTTAATGTATTGACAGAATTATCAGCAGCTGCTATGAAATACAACTCAAGCAGTCCAATAAACGTGATTGATCGTCTAATTAACTCTTGATTCGCAGTAGTTTTTATAAGACGCTACCTGCTGATCTCGATGACTGCTCCCAACGTTCGTGCTAAGAGCAGATAGCTAATTACTCCTTGGACTATAATTCTTTTTCCTGACTCTCAGTCCATCATTTTTTGTCTTGTAAATTATACCACTATTGAGTTTTCTCAGATCTGCTGGGATTAGATAGCGGCTGCTTGCGATGGATTGCTTAGAAGGTCTAAGGATGCATTTTAGGCCGTACAAATGCCTTCATGTAAATTTCAAGGATCTCTGTTTTGTAGGTTTTCCATCGATCGGAACACTGACCTTGAGAGACAGTTCAACATTAATACGCAAGATGGACGGATAACATTGGCAACCCCACTGGACAGAGAAACCAACACGTGGCACAACATAACCATTGTGGCAACAGAAGACAGTAAGTGGCTGTAAATGTGTGTGTATAGTTTTTTTCCTTGAATGACTGGGGAGTGTTTTTCTGTGTTCTGGTGGCAGTTCAATTAGCAAACTAGCCAGAAACATTATTTATAATGTTGGTTGTACAAAGGGCTTGGCGGCAGCATCTGTTGTGTGTGCACACATTTCCGCTATGATATTTATTTATTTTTAAAAGTCAGATAACATCACCAAAGCAGAAACATACATGCCAGAAGTAGGATAGCATGGAAAACTCAAAAGTAATTATTGTAAGGCACATATTTGTACCTTCAGTTCGATAAAGATTTCTTTTTAGATGTATGCACCCTTCAACTCCCCCCCCCCAAAAAAAAGTGAGTGCATAATACTTGGATGATCTAGTACAAATCATCCCCCATCCAAATTGCAATGTTCAGGCATAACTCCGAATGTAACCATCTGCAGGCACATAGGAGTCTATCCTATTATGTCAGATTGCTTTCCTAGTGAACAGTGTCCTTTTTTGCTTTTCTCCCTGCAGCACTGCATGTCTTGATTTGTGTTCAGTTCCTCTATGATTTCACTATCCAAATGGTTGAAACATACTAACCTGAAAATAATGTTGGCTAGGTGTGTGCACTCTGCTCCCCCCCCCCCACCCAAGAAAAGGTTATTCATTTCAGGTCTGGATGTTGAGGAGGGCCCTGACTAAGGTTGCCAAGCTCTCCGGTTTGCCAGGGGTCCCCCGTTTTGGGGGGGTCTGCCTGCCGCCGGCCAGATGGCCAGCAGGGGAAGCCCCACCCCCAACACCCACAGCCACCCCCCTCTCTCCCTTTAAGTGTGTGGAACCCGTGTTTCCTCCCAAGCCTGTGTTTCTTCCCAAGCCCATCTCCGCTTGGGATCAGGCTAGCAGGGAAATGCCAGCTTCGTGCATTTTAAAGGGAAACGCAGCTGCTCTTAAAGGGGAAATGCCGGCTCCTGCTCTTAAAGGGGAAACGCTGGCTCCTGCTCTTAAAGGGGAAACACTAGGAATGCCCCCAAAGTCTCCCACTGGGGGTGGAAGATGTTCTTGGCAACCTAGCCCTGACCTGGATTGGTCCTGGCTAGTATTTGGATGGGAGACCAACTAAGGAAGTCCAGGGTCATGATGCACATGCAGGAAATGGCAAACCACCTCTGAACATTGCTTGCTTTGACAATCCCAGAGGGTCACCGTAAGTCAGCTATGACTTGATGGTGCGTGCACGCACGCGCACACACACACCACTGGGTCAGTCATCTCAAATTTTTGGGAATGTCCATACTGGTTCAGGGTTCTAGTTAGTCTTTTTCCAGATTCTGAAATCCCAGGCCTTTCCCCCCCCTCAAAACCCCTCCACTTTGCCCACTATATTATTCCTGGGGAATCTGCTGGTCCACAGGAACAAGATTTGTGGAGAGGGACCATCAGGAGGGAGAAGAGGTCAAGTCCTTGCCCAGAAGCTCCACAGATATTTGAATGCATCCCATTGTATATGAAAACATAAAACTAGTAACATAAAAATAGCAAAACAGGGATAACACCCAATCAACAAAGACCCTTGACAGATGAAATATAGTCTAAGAGTTTACGCACTTATGTCTCTGTCCCTGGACTCTGGTGATGGTGATGGTGGCTACCAGCTGTTATTTCGCATAAGAGGTAAGACCTGGCTTCTTGAGGACTAACTTGGCACTAGACCTGCCTCCTGGTTACAATCCCTGCTGCTGGCATTGAAGGTGGCAGAGCCCTCCCCAACAACAGCAAAATGGCAGCTAGGCCCCTGGCCTCCCTCAAGGTCTGGCTGCCTGAGGAAATCTCCCTGACACTCTCCCCAAGGCTGCAATTCCCTTTCCCCGTCACTAGAGGCATTCTTGTTTTGTTTTTGAATGGGTAATAGAATAACTAGGAGCTGCGGTGGTTCAAGTGGTTAAGACGCTGAACTGCAGGCTGTGGAAGGTCAGTAGTTCAGCAGTTCGAGACCCGGGTTGCCGCATGACCGAGTGAGCTCCCGTCTCTAGTTCCAGCTCCTGCCAACCTAGCAGTTGGAAAGCAAGAAATTGCAAGTAGATAAATGGGTACCACTTCGGTGGGAAGGTAACAGTGTTCCGTGCGCCTTGGTGTTTAGTGACCACGGAAATGTCTTCGGACAGTGCTGGCTCTTTGGCTTTGAAACGGAGATGAGCACTGCGACCCTAGAGTCGGACTCAACTGGCTTTCGAGCAAGGGAACCTTTATCTTTAATAGAATAACTATATAACACTATAATAATACCAGAAACTGGTTCTCTGAATTCCCAGGGTTTATTTTCTTCTTTCTTTTTTTCTTTCTTGTCCCAGTAAGTGTCTATCCCTATCCTGCACTCTGCAGGCAGTCCCAGTCAGGTCACACCTGGAGCAGTGTTGTCAGGTCTATATCACGAGGCTTGGGAGCATCAACAGGTGTTGGCAGACTGCTGCTGGCACAGAGGCTTGCACCCTGTGGACCAGTTGTTCCAGCAAGGCAGCTTTCCCAAGCCTCAGCTTAAATCATCTGGGAGGTAATTGGACTAGGGTTGCCAGGTCCCTCTGAGTCCCCAGCGGGGGACTTTGGGGGGGGGTGTTCGGGAGGCGGGGACAGCCCAAACGTGATGACGTCACACAGAAGTGATGTCATCATGTTTGGGGACCGGCACCTGCACTCCAAGCCACAATTTCATGGCTTGAACTGCAGCCCCCCCACTTCCCCCCCCCAAAGGATTTAAAGGGGATCCCCTTTAAATGCTTTGGGAAAGAAGTGTGGGGTGGCAGCTGCAATCCAAGTGGCAATTTTGTGGCTGGGATTGCAGGCGCGAGGTGGCCCCCATGTCTCTTTCGCAAAGCATTTAAAGAGATCCCCTTTAAATGCTTTGGGAAAAGAAGCACAGGTGGGGTGGGGGCGCCTGCAATCCAAGTGGCAATTTTGTGACTTGGATTGCAGGCTTTGGGGGAGAAGCAGGGGGTGTCTTTCAGTGGTCAGGCTTGGGGTCAGGGCTTCCCTAAATTGGGGGGGTGGGTAACCTAAATTGGACTCAACCTCACTGCCTGGCCCTGGGATGGTGTTGCACATCACCAGTCTAGCACTTCACCTCCTTTGGGTCACTTCAGCCCAGGCCTTCTGTTGCTCCCTTTCCTGTAGAGGAGTGACATATCTGTGGTGGTGGTTCTGGGCCCGGGTTTGGGCCCTTCACAGTGGAGGCTTGAGGGCTATCTCAGAGTTCAGTGGTGAGGTTTCACTTGCAGATTCTGACAGGGTAGCCTCTGTCATGTCATCCACTGGCGCATCTGCCGTGTCAGGCTCCTCCTCGTCCCAATGGTCTTCCTCAGCCACTGGCCTTGGTTCCTCAGGTTCTTCCTCTGAGGACTGTGAGTGCAAAGCACTGGACTGGTTGGAGGGGGTTGTGAAGCACCTTCCATTGTGCTGATGTGCCTTTCCCTTTATATCTCTGCCAATGAAGACCCCAGAGATTTACTTAACAAAAAATGAAAATTCAGAGAACCAGCTATATGTTTTGTGATTATGCTATATCGATATAACAGTGTTCACTTGCTATTTTTTTATTTTAAGTTCCATGGTGGTGGGGAGATGTAATGGAGTCTGCAGGGGCACCACCAGGAAATTTCCCTGGGCAGCCAAGACTTCTCAGTCCAGGAGCCCATTCACCATTTTCTAGCTTCCAGTACTGGTGGCAGGAACGGCACCTGGGAGGAAGGCCTGCAACATGGCACCAGAGCCACCAGAGGAGGCAGATGCTGTCCAGGGAAGTCTAAGTCTGGTTTGGTCCTCTTTTTCCTTTTAAACTTTAAAGGGACATGAGGGTAAACTTGGCCTTCAGAGACCATGTGTACCCCACCCCATAGGAAGTAATGGCCAATAGACACAGCCTCTGGATGCCATGTCTACCTAATTCTCAGCTGTTAGTTGGCATTAGCTGTTAGTCGGGGTCTTTGGTCCTTTTAAAGTTTAAAGCACTATTATTTTCTATGGTAGTAGACCTGGTCTCCAGAGGCCAGGTCTTTCCATAGAACATAATGGCTCTTGCAGATTTAAAGGGAAGAGAGACACTGACTGATAGCTGTTTGCTGGGACTGCCTTCCTGTTCTGCTCCACCCCTGGCCTCTCCAGAACCCAAAACACTCCCAAAGTCTAGGAGATAATCTTTTGGTACTCCCAGAATTTTTGCAATGCTGTTGGCGAGAACAATAACCAAGGAGCCAAAAGGCCTTCAACACAGTGTTGGTGACCATGCCACCATGGTATGTCTATGACCTCTTCAGTCCTTTCCCCTTTTTAAAATTAAAGGGACATGGCGGAAAGCAGGCCTACCTAAGTCTCAGCCGTTAGTTGGCACCTCTCATCCCATTATGTTAATTGGGGGTAGATTTGAGGCCAGATACAGCTCTCCATAGAACATAATGATGGCCCTTTAAATTATAAAGAGAAGAGAAGCATAAAGTAATAGCTGTTTCCCTCGGCAACTTTATCTCTGTCCATCCTTCCCTACCCACTCCTGCTGCTGTTGGGGGAGTGACCTGAAATTTCAGGACTGGGGGGGGGGTACCATTACTCCCTAAAATTTAGGATAATGGAACCAGTGCCCTCCCTGAAATGGATCTAAAATTAATATGGGTTCTTTAAATGCACATCCCTAAATATTGTCCAGTTCCCTTCCTTACTGCAGCCTCCATTCCAACATGGCTTTTTGTCCATGCAGGTCCCACAATCCTCTGCATAGGTCTTTTGGGCCGTCTCCCTTCTCTATAAGAAAAAAAAAACTGGTTGGATCTCACTGTTATGTTCTCTTTGCAGCATTATTTCTTAAATTCTATGAAAATCCCTTAATTTCAGTGCTAGACATTCTATGCCCCCCAAAAGGGGGTGGGAGGAACTAAATATATATCTAGAATATAAAGGTAGCTTGAAAAAATTATTAATATTCAGTGTTGCTACTAAGGCTTCAAATTGAACTTGATCTCCAGGATAAA